GTAGTGAGTCAATAACCAATGAATGTTTCTCCAACAATTTACTGTCTAATGCTTTTTCTTTATTAGAGTTTTTTCTTTTCAAAAGATTAGTTTTTACTTTTTAGTGTTGTTGCTTGGAGTTTCGACTTGGGACATTGTGATTCTTGTAATGTTCAATCCGGATAAACTGACTTAATCTGATCTGAATTCGAAAAATTCTACCCGAGATAGAACCAGGCCGAACAATTTATACATTATCGGTTTCAGTTTAGTACCTATGTGTTACATGTAAGTGGCAATGGTATAGACAATATGACCGGTCTTGTTGCTTGGAGTTTCGGCTTCAGACATTGTGATCCTTATAGTACAACGTAGGAATGTTCAATCTGGATAAATGGCTTTATCTGATTTGAGTTCCAAATATGCCAAACAATTTATACCTTGTTGGCTTTTTAATTTGGTACCTATGTTTAATTTGGTATCTGATTTGAGTTCCAAAGAAGTTGCCTAAATCACAATTTGAAAATTTTCTTTATAGGTTACATTATACTTAAATCAATCCTTTCCTTTCAAAAATTATGGTTCAAGAGTTTGGAATGCAGGAAAGGCAACAAGCCTAAAGGAGAGTGAAGTATGTAATATAAAAAAAAAAAAAAGACTCAAGTAGAGATGGTCACGAAGAAGCTATATAATCGGAATTGTACGTTACTAACTACATAAAGCTTCGAAGATAACGTAAGTACGCAAAAGTCAGTACATGATTGATTGATTTGCTTTTTGTTGTTGCTTTGACTTTCCATCAGATCCAAAAGCGTTCACATTTGAGTAAACTTATGCCACACTTTTCTTGTGGATACGACTAAAATTTCTACCAAAGCTCTTTAGATTTCCAATCACAAATATGGTTTTATTCTTTGTTAATCTTTTTGTAATTTAGCCCACATGCTTTTAACATTTTCCTTTCTTCTCTCTTTTTTGGATTTTCTTGTTTTCTTCTTTAATTATAGTTTTTTTTTTAAAATAAACCGCGAGAATTTTTAACTTTTGATTCATATAGTCTCTTAAATATTCGTAGTTTTTAATTATAGTTTATAAATTCAATTTAGCGTTTTGGCATATGTGCGCTATTGAAAAGTATTAGGGGACTGAAAACATAATAAAAAGTATACTACTTATACGATAACAAATGTATAATAATATTTCTCCATGTTTATATAGTTTTTTTTTTACTTTGCTAAAAACCAAGTTTATATAGTTTTTTTTTGAAAACATATTTATATAGTTAAAAGTAAAAACTTGGTTTTGTGGGTGAGAAAAAAAGTAGAATATTACGGTATTCCTTTGTTGTTTGTTCTTGTTGAACCATTCATCTCACATAACTATTATATACTTTTCAAATTCTTCAAACTTTTTTATTCATCGTGTAAAGTTCATTCTCACAACATTTATTACATTAACACGAGAATTATTTTTTGTTTTAATTTTCTAT